CGTACTTGGAGGATGGGGTTCAGTGGTACTCACAGGACACTCCGACGCTTCTTGGGCTGATGACCAGGCGACTCAGCGTTTGTCACAGGGTAACACCTTCAGCCTTGGCTCCGGTTTTGTCTCATGGAGGTCCACTTGTTCTTCTTCTATGCTTGGTTCCAGCTGTGAGGCCGAGATCTACGCTGGGGCCATGGCTGCACAGGAGCTACGCTGGCTGACCTACCTGCTGATCGACTTGGGGGAGTGGCCTCGTTCTCCTCCAGTTCTGTACGTCGACAACAAGCCAATGCTTGCCTTGTGTCACGAATAGAGACTGGAGCACAGAACGAAGCACATTGCTCTTCACTACTTCCTTGCGCATGAGCTGCAGCAGCGTCGTCAGCTCCGCCTTTCCTACGTGGCCTCGCGGGCCAACACTGCTGATGTGTTCACCAAGGCCCTTGGGTCTGGTGATCATCAGCGTTTCTGCACTGCTCTTGTGCTTTTGCCCACTCTGCCTCACCTGCTGGTTGCTTGACTTGCTCTTGTTGTACACTGATATATGTCTTTATACCTGCTTGTTTACTTTTTCTAGGTTGTGATCAGTGTACTGCCTTGCTATTATAACTCTGCATGTGAACTGGCCTTGTGGCCGCTTGCTTGTGCTCAGATTGTGTGGTGTCCTTGAGATCCACCCTGAGCTTTGCTTTGCTTTGTTCTCTTGCTTGACTGGTATTGTGACCGTTTGTTGTCTGTGCTATCCCCCACTTTGCCCAGGGGGGTGTGTCAAATTACATTTGTATGTGTAGGCTGTAGTGGGGTAGCCTCTACTGAGTACAACACTTTAGGTCAAACCTAGTACTTGAACTCATCCTTGCTTGCTTGTCAACCATTCCTGCACAGTTGATTCTGACAGTATGCTGCAGGAGCCGACTCTACCGAGTACAAAAGACGAGGAGTCAGAAGAGTCGAAGTGACACTAGCAACCGTCTTATCAAGATCGATGCAGGCAGAAACATTTGAAGTGAAAAGAGCAGGAACAGGTTTGAAACGGGTTCCCGCACCGTACAGTTTGACTTCGCTGTAATAAGGGAATGTACCCCTTAGAGTACATGGCTAGTCTAGGTCGTTTCGTATTCCCTGTATTATATATATAAACTTGAAGTATGCATGCTTTTATTATCTCTGTCATTTACATTCACTCTGACGTGAGGTCATTTCTTCCACTGCAACAACTCAACCTGCGATCAACCCTGAGAACGATCCTTCGCTAAGTCCCACTTTGGATCGTAATAGGAAGAACTCTAGTAGAACGCTACGATCACCCGCACAACCCCATGCCCTCCTCCGTAGTCCACTCCCGTTGTAGAGTGACTCTCCTCATGAACTGTCTCATGCGTCGTCCATGTCTGCACTCGCATAGTTTCATCTCATTCGAGGATCAAAATAACGTCACTCGTTGTCGTGTTGTGCGAACGACACTAATTTGAGTTGAGAGCTTCGTGGTATGACTCCGTGGTGTTAAGAAACCCTGGAAAAAAAAATGGAATGAAGCAATGAAATAGCTGTCAAATTGCATTTGTTATCTTTAGGCTGTAATGGGGCATACTCTAAGGAGTAAAACACTTTAGGGTTAGGTATTACTTGTACTCATCATTGCTACCTATTCCACCACTCCTACATTCTATTTCTGACAATAGCATCATGCGACGTCCATGTATGTACTTGCAAATAGTAATTTGTAAAACACATGCATTTAGTGAATCTATGTTCCTACCGATCACAACAAACAAGTTCAGAGAGTTCAATTGTTTCAATTATACATGGAAATCAAACTACCACAGGACTACAATAATGGAAGTCTAAACAATAAAGCATGGTTAAATATTAAGGCTCATAACAACAAACTTGTCGTTCAGGATCCGTCACTTTGAGAGCTTACGACGAACTCAATTCTCAACTAAACGCAAATCCGCTCGGTAGGATTGTGCGCCTTAGCCTAAGCTACCATCTCCATGTTGAGTCAGTCGTTAAGATGGTCTATAGAGTGAGAACCAAGTAAAAACGTCCAGCAGCCGCATAACTAGAATGGTAGAGGAAGTACAAACATTAAGGCATGGAATGTTGGAGTTGGGGACTCCAAGAGAACCATGAGAGGGAAGGGGTTCTCCAAGAGCTAGGGAAGGATGGTAGGAACCTTCCTAGCAGCAAGGATGCAACCCTCATCATGAGGTCCTTGAGGTGTCACATGCAAAATCCAATCTAGTTGGATTTTGCCTAGGTGTTGCAACATTTGCAACCCATGCTAGAAACTTCTAGCCACCCCAATCCAAAAGTCAAAGTTGCCTTCCCTAACCATCCAACCAAAGATCCCTTTATAGTCATGTCCCAAGTAATCACTCAAATTAGATATAACCTTAAAAGGTAATAAGAAATCCAAGTCTTGGAAATCTTGTAACTTGGGCGATCTTGGTATCGTTGGAAAGCTATGGATTTCTCCTGCATGATCAAGCATTTAAACTTGGAGAAAACACAGAGATGGTAAAATCCAACAGCCATGCACAATGACAAATGCTCATGCAAACAATGCACGCATGAATAGCACGAGCACTCGGCAGGACGTTAGGATGACATGCACTCAAAATGACGTGCATCCAACAAAACTCTTCATAACCAATATATTCAATGTGCACTGAAACGAAGATGTTCTTGTGCGGGTCAAGATGGTCTCGCTTTGTGCCAAACCTTCGCCACCCACTGGAAGGTGTGCTTCTCCGAAGGTGTGTTTTGAAACCCCTTTCTTACAGAGAAGTATGTTCGAATCGAACGACCAATTAAAATCGCACGAATGGTGTCGGGTAAGCTTCGTGGCCAAAGTAAAAAATATCGACCAATAAAATCGCTCGCTGTGTCACGTCGAAACTTCCGCGACGATGCAGCCTGTCGAATCCCGAGCCGCGAACTGAGAAAAACCACCTGCTTGTAAGTCCTTGAAAGAAACTCTCTCGCAAGCCCTAAAAAACATCCCACCCCGACGAGGGAATGACGAAGCGCCGTGCTTTCTCGTCTTCAATTCCAGCAGGCTGTGGTTTTTACAGGCCTCCTGCCACGCGATCACGCCCGATTCCCGTGGTCAGTTTTCGCCATCAACACCGAATTCTGTACACTTTCTTGGTTTTTGTGGGCAGGTCCAAATATCTCGTAAATGTTGCACACAATCATTACGACTTTGTCTTTATTGGTGCGCTGTAAAACACAGCTGTTCATGTTTCCACGAGTCTTCTGCAGTTTCATTCGACACCCATCAATGTCAGGGTTCTAGTTAATAAGTGCGTGACACCTTGGACTAAACTTGGCTGGTTAAGCACCGTTGCATGCACGTGCGCAATGGTCTGTCATTTCATCGTCCTTGCTTCACATCGAGTTCTCCCCCGTCAACGTCTCGTGAGCACGCAGTCGCCATTTCCTCCGTGGGTCTCTCGTGGACCAAGGGTTTTGAAATCATTGAGTAGCGACTCATTTATTCTCTCATTTTCATCTCTACTTGTCAATTACCATAGCATCTCCTCTCCGCCTTTTCCAAACCAGCCGCAGTTCATAAAGTTCACGTAGTGCTTATTAGGTTAGCTCACGATGACGCCTCCTAGGCATTCTACACGCCTCAAGATCCAAAAAGCCGTAGGTAATCAGACAGCCGTTACGCGAGGGAAATGATCAACCAGGGGCAAGCAGGATGCGAGCGATATTGTGCCGGCTCCGAGCCCAGAATTTAAGGTCCCGGTTATATTAGAAGGCGTAGATGTGCTGCCAGAGCCCGACAACATAATAGCAAGGTTCGCGAAGGGTGTCAAAGTTCCTGACAGCGTGAACGATAAGCTTCCTAGGTCTGTTAAGAGTAACCATTTCCCAACTTATGAGTTAAAAAATCATCACGGCCAGAGAGCGAAGGTGACAATCATGGATGCCCTCCACATACAGGATGGTTACGAGCTATCGACCTCAATTATCGACTTTCACAACGTGTAAGTCCTGATACGCGGTTTACTAGTATTACGTACTCATCGCCTTCATTTTCATGGTCATTCGTGTTCGTATCGTTTCAGGGTGTTGAGCCTTCTTTACAAGGAGCTTCCAGACGGAAAAACGTGGTTGGCGCTTGACACGCTCGCCTTCCAAACCGTCACCCGGGGACAGGAGCTTGCATGCAGAGTCGACTGCAAAACTCTGTTCGAGCACGACTACATTTGCATCGTGGTTTTCAACAAGTGAGGGAGACATTAAAATGGTTTAGGGTGGTTCACAGAGCTCTCGTTTAAGGTTCATTGATGTTTTGGACGGTTGTCTTCATGTCCTGACTTCCGCTCTATGGTTTCTCTGCAGGGAACCAGTACATCATTTCAGCCTTGTGGTTGTTAGGGACCCCCGTCTGCTGCTCCTAAGTAACGAGGAATACCAAGCCACGGCGCCGGAAGAAATAGTTCTAGCAGTCCTTTACGACTCCGCACGCGTCCATTACGACCAGCGCGAAGCCGTGTTCACAAACATCAACACGTGAGTTTAGGCTGCGGCGGCATTTTTATGGGCCTTACTATCATCTTTTGTGCTCACGTGTAGACCTTGCGTTGAAAAAACCACTGTTCTTGATCCATCCGCAGGCTTCTTGGGCGGGCCCTTAAAAAGGCCTGCCCTGATATGCCATGGGAAGAAGTGACAGAGCGGCTCACACGCGTGCACAGCCGAGGCCTTCAAGTGAGTTTGTCAAATTTGTGTTTGATGTCACGCTGTCTGTAAGAAGCACAACACGATTTACCTGCTTCAAAGTGACTATGTTTATCTTTTTTTTTTAATCTTGTGTTTAGCAGTACTTCGAAGTACCCCAGCAACAGAACGACGTAGACTGCGGGGTCTACGTCTGCATGTTCATCAATGAGCTTGTATTCTGCTGCTTCCAATTCATGGAAGAAGAGATTCCGAAACTCCGTTACGGTGGCGCGCACTACAGGCGCGAAATCCGTGCTCTGATGTGCGAGGCCGGCGAAGGTACTCTGCTGGAATCCCTGAAACTGAAGGGGGCCGATATTCCACCACAGAGTGAGCAGCAGCAGGAGGAAGAGGGTGAGAGCGATGACGTAGTTGAGGTCGATCTTGAGACCAAGGTTAAAGATCTATCGGCGGAGCAGGCTGTCCAAGCTGCCCAGATCAACAGCCTTTCGGAAGACATGGATAATCTGAAAGACTCGGTTTTTAAGGGTGGGGAGGGAATCGTCAAACTAACGGTGTCTGTGTCATCACTGTTTACCGCCTTTCAGCAGCTGGCTGTACATGCAGGGTTCAAGCTGCCGATGGCTACCCTGAAGGGTTTGAACAGGCCTGAAGCCGGCGACTCCACTGCTGCTGTAGTAGCTTCTGGTACAACAAGAGGTGCTCTTCAGACCTCTGCTGTTGCTCCGTCACTTGCGCGTAGACCACTTTTCGGCCAGATTCCAGGGTTCGTGCAAGCCCAGGGAGCCACATCCGGTGCACAGAGGTCTAGGGCGGGTGACACAGGTCCCGCAGCCGGCGCTTCATCCTCCGCGGCTGATCAGGTGGGTGCTGCAGCATGTGTTACTACAGCAGCAGCAGATCAGCCAGGTGCCTCTGTCTGTGCTCCTCCTGCTGGAGCGGGTCAGCTAGGTGCCTATGCTGGTGCTCCACCACCTGGAGCGGTTCAGCCAGGCTCCTCTGCCGGTGCTCTTCCAGCTGGAGCGCGTCTGCCAGGTGCAGCAGCCGTCGTTTCACAACCAGCCGCGGGTCAGCCAGGTGCAGTGGCCGTTATTCCAACAGCAGCAGCGGGTCACCCAAGTGCAGAAGCCGGTGTTTCAACAGCAGCAGCGGGTCAGCCAGTTGCAGCAGCCGTTATTCCAACAGCAGCAGCGGATCAGCCAAAGGCAGCAGCCGGTGTACCTACAGCAGCAGCGGGTCAGCCAGGTTCTGCAGGCGTTGCACTAACAGCAGCGGCGGCGCAGCCATGTGCTACCGCGGGTGCTCCAAAGGCGGCAGCGGGTCAGCACGGACCCGCCACGGGGGTTGCTATCAACGCAGGCGTGGTACGGCCTGGAGACGACTGCTAGGATATATTGGGACCGGGGTCGGATCTCACCAATTTTCCACCATGTGTGCAGGTCCAGGATGCAACCGGGTCGCAAGCAGCGGATGACGCTCCGAGGACAGCTGTGCTTCACACAAGTTCAGCGGCATGGACATCAGGAGAACAGCTGTTTGTGCCCTCGAGTTTTCCACCCGGGATGCATCTCCAGGGGTTTCGTGCACCAGGAGCGGGGGTGTTTGCTCCACAGGCAGGTGGTGTTCAGCCTGGAGCATCTGCACATGTCGCGCCAGCAGGGCCTAGTGGCCATGCTCTGCATCGTCCCAACTTGCTCTTCCACGGATCAGGACATCCAACCGCGTCCGTGCATCTGCCTTTGTCGTCGCACGGCCCCGGTGTGCAGGAACCACCTGCTTTCCTCTTTGCTGCTGAGGCGCTCGACACTGGCAGCATCCTACCTGGCCACACCTCCTCCGCACCTCGTGGGACTCTACTGAACATGCCCTCGCAACAGGTTCTGCCCTCCCCAGCCGCCTCCTCATCCTTCATGCCATCGACCCAGGTTGGTGAGGAGGAGGAGGCCGCCAGCAAGGGGTTCACGGGAGTCACAAAGAAGGAAGGGTAAGAACGATTGGGTGGCTAGGATTGTCCTCGACCGCACTTCCAATTCTCTAATTGTCATCAGCAGTCACTTTCAATCTGAGGTCGCCGCGGCTAGGTCAATAGCCGCAGCGTCTCATGTGATGTTCGTCGACAATCCCACGAGAGGCAATCTCATACCCTTGACGAACGGCGACAGGGCAAAGTTACGGGGTTGTACGGCCCAGCAGTGTGAGCTGATGGTCCGTCAGAAGTCCTGGCACAAGTGGGAGCAGTGGGCAGAGTATTGGCCTGCTGCTAAGGCTAAGTATGATGAGAAAGAGCGCAAGGCTGCGATGAAGCGAGCGGCACTGGATAGGAGCTTGGGTCAGCCTGGCGGTCGGCCCGACAAAATGGCCAAAACGGTGGGTGAAGGCCTGTCACAAGGGGTGACAGGAGATAACGATGAGTGTGTGGGATCTAAGGATGAATAGGCTAGCGGGCATGGGCATTAGGTGGTAGTTTTGAGGTACCGCCGATGTCTAAACATGCTACTTAGGGCTATGGTATCGCACTGTGGATCATGTGTGGACATGACTTTTAGTGTGTGCTTACGTTTGCACCATAATATGGATTCCATTTTGAACAAAAAAATGACATACTATGGCCTCGTTTGGAAAGGGTCTATGAACGGTCAAGAAACACCGCATTTGCCAGTCAATGGCCCGTAACAATTCAGTTGGACGCGTGTCGATGCCTCGCGAAGGTATTGTAACTGTGCCGTGTGCATCCCACTGCCTTTGAGTAAACGTCGAGTGCAGTTGGCAATCCACGATCACCTCGTGAAACATCCGTGAGTATTTCGTCACTTCAACGTACGCTGCTTGTCCGACAAAACGGCCAGTTAACGTCAAGTGAATGCATCGCGAAGAGTGCGTGGGGAATTATATGTAACAACGAGGGCGTCACTTGATATTCACAAAACACCAACCGAAAATCCGTACGACAACAGTCAGCAATCCGCGATCAGCTCGTGACACAGTCGTGACTATTCCGTCGCTTCCACGTAAGACACACATGGGGGATGGAGGACGACCTAATCCCTGTGATAATCCCGCTAGTCAACAATGTGCAGTCCGCATACATCTACTCAGACAGTCGTGAATACTCCATCGCTGCCTCGTCAGATGCTTGTTTTGGCTTATGGGAGCGTGAATAAAAAAGTGTGTTGCACATGATAACACAAACTTCGAATCGTGTATAAATAAAACCAGTATAACACTGTCTACCCCACCCACATAAATTGCCATGATAGACAGGCAGAGACTAAAAATAAAATTAGGGTCTCTTGGCGACAAAGGTGTTCATTAATACAATGTTGCGATCAGATGTTGATCGACCCTAGGATCACTACAGAAGGTCAGCACACAGTTGGTATGTAGTATTGGGACTTGGTCTTGTCAGAACATTATAGCTTATACATTTATGTAGGCTGTAGTTGGGTAGCCCATAAGGGGTACAACCCAATTAGGGTTAGTACTTGTACCCAACTCTCTCATAGTTCATTCATTCTCGTTTGTAAACTTGACATGGTATCAGAGCAGGTTCCTTGGGCCCACCACCTGCTGCGCTGCTAGTACCCCCCCTTGGCCCTGGCCCCTTGGCCCGTCGCGTTTACTTCTCCCGTCGCGCCCCTTAGGCCCGTCGCGCCCCTCCCACGGCCCCGTTTCCTAGGCCCCGGCCCCTTGGCCCGTCGCGCCCCTCGGCCCCTTCGCCCGTCGCGCCTCTGGCCCATCGCGCCCCTAGGCCCGTCGCGCCCCTTAGGCCCATCGCACCCCTTAGGCCCGTCGCGCCCCTTAGGCCCATCGCGCCCCTCCCACGGCCCCGTTTCCTAGGCCCCGGCCCCTTGGCCCGTCGCGCCCCTCGGCCCCTCGGCCCCTTAGGCCCGTCGCGCCCCTCCCACGGCCCCGTTTCCTAGGCCCTGGCCCCTTAGCCCGTCGCGCCCCTCGGCCCCTTCGCCCGTCGCGCCCCTGGCCCATCGCGCCCCTAGGCCCGTCGCGCCCCTTAGGACCATCGCACCCCTTAGGCCCGTCGCGCCCCTTAGGCCCGTCGCGCCCCTCCCACGGCCCCGTTTCCTAGGCCCCGGCCCCTTGGCCCGTCGCGCCCCTCGGCCCCTTCGCCTCTAGGCCCCGGCCCCTTGGCCCGTCGCGCCCCTAGGCCCCTCGGCCCCTTAGGCCCGTCGCGCCCCCACCACGGCCCCGTCTCCTTGGCCCCGGCCCCTTGGCTCATCGCGCCCCTTGGCCCCCAGACACCTCGGCCCCTCGGCCCCTCGCCTCTCGACACCAGGCACCTCGGCCCCTCGCCCCTTGGTCCTTCGGCCCTGTGGCCCCTCCTGTTTGGCCCCTCGGCCCCGCCCCTTGGCCCCTCGGCCCCTAGGCCCTTTGGCCCCTCGGCCTCGTGTTTGGCCCCTCGGCCTCGTGTTTGGCCCCTCGGCCCTGCCACCCTCGTGTTTGGCCCCTCGGACCCGCCCCTTGGCCCCTTGGAAACTGCTTCTGCAACTGCTTCTACTGCTACTACTGCTGCTGCTCCTGCTGCTACTACTGCTACTGCTGCTCCTGAGTGCTGCGCCACAATGGCTTCGCTTAGAGTTCTAGCGTTCGATCATGAGGGTAGACCGGTTGCATTTGACACGTGGCACGACGATCTGCAACTGTACCTACTGAGCGATATTAAGGACAATGTCTCACTGTTTGACCACGTGTCCGGTGTCGCTCCAGCCCCTCCCGCCACAGCTGACAGTGCGACTCGTTCCCAGTGGCTGTATCGTGACGCTACTGCCCGCTTAGCCATTCGCAACCACCTGCCGGTGGCCGAATGTACTCACTTTGGACAGCACAGGATAGCACAGGCCCTGTACGACGCTGTCGTTGCTTGCTACTCCTCCCATGCCACTGCTGCTCTAGGCAGAATGCTACTACCCTACCTGTTCCCTGAGCTGTCTGCTTTTGCCACCGTAGCAAACCTGCTTACCCACCTGCACACTAGCGACGCTCGCTACCGCGCTACCGTCCCTGCTGAGTTCCTTGCCACGAACCAGCCCCCGATGTTCATCACTCTCTACTTCATAGTCACTCGCCTCCCTGACTCTCTTCGCTCTGTCAGGGACCACTTTCTCTCCCTTGACCCCACCTCCCTCACTGTTGACCTCCTCGAGCAGCATCTCCTCGCAGCTGAGACTAGTGCAGTTGCTGTAGGTGCTGCTCGTGGCACTCCGCGCCTGCCCTTTTTTTAGGGGTGCTCCCCCTCCCCCCTTTCCCCCTCCTGCAGACGTCTCTCTCACTGAGAACGTTGGTGCTGCTTCGACTAGTGCGAAGCGCCGCAGCAGCAAGGGCAAGGGTGGCCGGGGTGGTGGAGGTGGCAGTGGTGGTGGTGGAGGTGGCAGTGGGAGCGGTGGTGGGGGCAGCGGTGGAGGTGGTGGAGGCAGTGGAGGTGGTGGCGGCGATGGGACTGGTGGCGGCAGTGGGGGCTCTGGTGGCGGCGGTGGAGGCAGCGGAGGGAGTGGCGGCAGTGGAGGCGGTGGGACTGGTGGTGGCAGGTCTGGACCTTAGCGTGGAGGCCCTGGTGGTGGTCAGCGAGAGCAGCAGCAGCGTCGGAGCGAGACCCAGTCGCCCCAGCAGCTCCGTGAGTGGTTGGTTCAGCGTGGGACGGGTGGGGGTAGTGAGACCTGCCCGTATGTCATTCGCACGGGTGTCCGTGCGGGCCAGACATGCGGGAAGTTCCACACTGAGCACCACTGCTTCTCCTGCCTTGACGACGCCAGGCGTGCTGAGTTTGGTGACGACGTCGAGCGCCCTCGCTGGATGGATTTGCTTAGGTCGGGAGTTGCTATCTTTGACCTAGACTATGATGCTATTATCTCTGCCATGTATGCTTTGTCTTTTGGTGCTGAGGGTGACTGTTACCGGTGTGTGCCACCTGACCCAGGTATAGCGGCTGCTGCTCTAGGTGCTAGTGTGTGTGGTACTCCCCCTGGTACTGCGCCTGCTGAGGCCTTGCACACCTTCACGTTGGACTCCGGTGCCTTGCGCTGTTTCTTTCGTGACAGCACTACTCTCACTCCTCTCCTTGCACCTGTCCTGGTCAGACTGGCTGACCCCTCTGGGGGCCCGGTCGTTGCCCGTTCCTCCACTGTCCTCCCGTGTCCGGCGGTTCCGTCCGGCTCACTGTCAGGTCTTCACCTCCCCTCGTTCTCTACGAACTTGGTGAGTACCACTGCCCTTCAGGATGCGATGGTCACTACCACCACTCCTGGGGGTGAGCGTGTGTCGATCTGCACGTGCACACGGACGAGGCGTCACCTGGCTACGTTCACTCATCGGCCAGGGTCGAGTCTGTACACGCTCGTTCACTCAAGCCTCCTCAGGTCGCTGCGTCTGCTCAGGTGTCCGCGTCAGGTCAGGTAGCCGCCTCTTGCTTGTGTCGCCTCCTGTCGCACCAGACTCTTCTTTGGCACCATCGCCTGGGTCACCCCTCCCTGCCACGCCTTCGTGGCATGCACTCCCGGTTTCTCGTCTCTGGTCTACCCAGGTCTCTGCCTCCCCTCCCGCCCTCGCCTACCCCGCCCTGCCTTCCTTGCGTCGAGAGGCGGCAGCGCGCCGCTCCCCACTCCTCCTCGTTTCCCCTGACGACTGCTCCCCTGCAGACTCTCCACATGGACGTGTGGGGCCCAGCCCGCGTCAGTGGACAGGGCCGTGAGCGCTACTTTCTTCTGGTCGTTGACGACTACACGCGGTACACCACGGTCTTCCCCTTACGCAACAAGGGTGAGGTCCCTGATGTCCTGATCCCTTGGATCCGCACAGTCCGTCTCCAGCTCCGCGAGCGCTTCGGTACGGACCTTCCTATCCTACGTCTGCACTCTGACAGAGGTGGTGAGTTCTCCTCCGACCGCTTGCGGGAATTTTGTCGTGGGGAGGGCATTCTCCAGTTGTTCACGCTTCCGGACTCCCCTCAGCAAAATGGGATTGTTGAGCACCGCATTGGCTT